TTTTTCCAACCTCCTACCACTTTGTCTATTTTTTCCCAAAAAATTTCTGGTTTTTTTACAAAATTTTGCTGTCGAGCGGGGGGGGGGTCGCAGTACCTACGTACGTCCCAAGCACGTCCAGCACTCTGGCGCTGGTGTAGCATACTGACAATACGTACGAGGAAGGGGCGATGATAGGAGCTACGATCACCGCCCACAAGGGCACCATGAATTTATAAACAAACAAAAGGACTCACGACGTGACGATTAATAAACAGATGAAAGTACATTCCCGGACTTTTCTGATCGCACATTTGCTTGCAATTGGGAAGCCCTATCTAGAAGTTACACCTTCCAAACACCTGCGTGAAAGCCCCATGCATGGCGCATTGCAGAGGTGATGCCAATTGGCGCCCAATGGCCTATTTCCTGATACCCTTTGCGAAAACATGTGTTTTAGAAGCATACCAAAGTCTTCAAGCCAACTGGAGGTTGGGTCGTATGGGTCGTATTTCTCGCGGCATTTCCTGTTCCTGTTTCACATGTCCTATTTATCTTTATCGTTCAGCTTCTAGAAATTGAGTTGTTCGCTCTTGACTGGTAGAGTGGGTGAAGATCAGGGAACATTGTGGGCTCGGGGAGAATGTCGTAGTTAGATTCCGTTCCCCTCCAGCACTAGGGTGTCCGTGGGACTCCAACTTCGAGAACATCTCGAAATATAGTCGAATGAGATACCCTTTACCTCCGCGAGTACAACACCTCTCTTATATGTCGAAGCTGAATTCACACTAGTAAGGATCCTGTGTGTTGCTCTAAAGACTTAAATCCCACCTGGATCTTGTTCCTTAAAAGTTAAATACTCACGAGAAACGTGCGGTGTGAGCCGTTGCATATGCCACCACACAATCAAATGCCTTTACAGTTTTGATAAAGAAGCAGGGATGTTTCTAGCGAGTTCATGTAATTTTTTAAGTATTGTATACCCTTTTGTGATCTATCTGATTTCCTCTGTAGACTAAATGGGGCCATCGATAAGCCGATCGGGTGGTCTGCATTAGTCCGCCCGCTCCTCACCGCTTTATGGATTTCGTTTTCGTGGGGTACCCATATGTGCTCAAATTATTTATGGAATTTCTATTAGACTTGATATTTATCTTGCCATAGCTTCATTCAATATATCGGTTGATACCAGGCTGCTTTTAGGCTCGCCTTGTCCGTTTCGTTAAATGCTCCAACTGTGACCTTCATTCACGATATACTGGCTGGTTTTCTGATTGCGATTGCTAATTCATATAGTTGGATCAAGCAATACTATAAGTAATTAAGAATAAGAAAATTGCCCTGAAATTCAAAACTATATCCCATACTGATCGCGCGGGCGGAGCCCCTTCACCGCTGCGTCCTATTCGTTGGTATTCTCCATGCTGGTGCAAAAAAGAGCGCACCAACGAGCAGGGCTGTAGGCCCGACCCCACCCACACGCCCAGCGGGGACCACCGGAAAGCTCACTACAACTGTCTAGAGAGCATTTTAAGTTTTTCTGGATCCCTGGTCGGGAGAGGGCTGCTATTTACTCAATCATATGGTTGGCTTGTTAATCAGTTATAAGCTAGTTTCAAAGTGTTCATTGGCCGCTAACTCTAAGCCCGAACCCTGACAGCCTCACCTATATTTGTTGCAGTTTTTATTCATTTTTCTATAATTTCAAATTGTCTGTTTATTCAGCTCTCAAGAATTTTCAGGACACTGGTCTTGCAGCACGAGATCAGTCCTTTTAGAGGCATTCTGCAATGATCGTCACAATTCTTGGAGCGAATTCATTGCTCGGACAGCATCTCGTACAAAAAATTCAAACCCTGAAAGATTCGTCGGTGGAATTAGTCACGTGGACTTATAGCGCTAATTTTCATCCAAGATTGCCAGGTACGGCACTCTCCCTGTACTATCATAGCTGCCCTATCAGAGTCAAAAGGTTCGGTCAGGAAGTTCACGTTGCGGCGTTTCGCAGACATTAGGTCACGCGCGTGGCTGCTCGCTGATTGCGTGGGTCGCCGCATCGCACTTGCGGATGTGGAGCATTACTAGTATTTATTACTAGTACTTAGCATTAATGGAGCATTATTATTTATTACTAGTAGTTAGCATTGTGGAGCATTACTAGTATTTATTATTAGTTCTGTGAATGCGCTAAAATAGGCACTGGAAGTGGGTGACGTAAGCTGCATGCATGTCTGGACCAAGTCCACTTTAGGCGGTTGACCCTCCGTTTCTCTATGATCTCCCTGCATCTTTCAAATCGACCAGCTTTCTCTGTGCCTGTGTTTGTCTAATTACCTGAAAAGAAGAAAAGACTAACTACCTGAAAAGCACCTTGCGTCTCTGCCGCGATACTGCAACTGCGTAGTAACGCTCCACCCACTCGTACTTCCCATTCCGTCATAGAGACCCAAGAGTATGGAGCTGTTTTGACGAACTTGTTCAGGCGATCTGAACTGGGCTCCATTAAGGCAACTTTCATCGAGAGTTGAATGACGCTCCACGAGGTGTTACAAACGAATCATGCACATCGTGAGCTTACAGTTTTCAAACTTGTTGACTGATATCCCTGTGCATAAGCGATTTGAATAACGTTTCAGAGTGTTCATCTACACGAAGTGCAGGATCTGAGCCTTCTCCCCAATGAACATCGTTTATGGCTTCACAATGTGGACTGTAAGCATACTCTTTACACATTTGTAGCTATGCTGTGCTACAGCCCTGATTCGGAGCGTGGGGGGGAAAGAAGTGGCGTCATACCTTTGCGTCAACATCTTGATGCTAGCAAGCAAATTTTGAGGTTGGATCAAAGCAATTCCGATAGGCGTTCGCAGAGCTTTTTTCTGCTTTATTTTACAACTCATCGACAGTACAAGCTAACCAACAATATAATAGCCATCGTTAGTCATAACATTGTTCCCCGTGTCGGGCAGGTCAGCGATTTCCTCCTCCCAGAAATGGGGAGATTGGGAGTCAAAGAAGTCACCGACGACTTGTCTCACGATGGTCAGCAGTTACGAGTCGTTTTTTTTTGCTAGGAAAGCTTTGAGGGGCCGGAACAAGTGGTAATCTGAGGGGGCAGTATCAGGTGAATAGGATGGATGAGGAACGGTACTCAGCCTAGCTCCTCCAATTTTGCACGGGTCTCTTTACCTGTGTGAGGCCTGGCGGTGTCACTGGAGAAGGCTGCAAAATAGTTCGTTAGGCCCCGTTTTCCTCGAACGGCTTCAGCAAGTTTCTGCAGCTGACCAGCGTAATAGGGGGCGGTGTCGGTGTGGCCTTGCTTGAGCAGTTCGTAGTACAGCATTCCTTTTAGATCCCAGCAGCAGTAAAGGAGAAACTTCTCGGGGTGGAGGTCGGATTTGCTTGCGTCGGCGCTGTTCTTCTCGCGGGAGCCAGACGGCGCGTGCTTGTTAGCGTCGTAGAGGATCCAGCTTTCATCTCCAGTAACTAGGTCCTCCAGAAACTCCTTGCGATGTGGGCGGAGAAGGAGAGACTGACAAATGGATACCGCATGCTATCGGTCAAGACATGAGGTATCCATCGAGTCAGCACTTTTCTGTAACCGAGGGCCTGAAGGCGACCGACGACTGTTGATTGGGCACATCCAAGCCTCGTCGCAGAGGATGTTAACTGTCGGATCCTCTTGACGGCGTCGAAGGAATGGACGGAGTGTCGACAGTGAAGGGGCGCCCCCCGACCGGGCTTGTCTTCGCGATCCGGCCTCCTTCCGTAAAGCGAGCGAACCAGTGATGGACCTACCACATTGTAAATCATTGGTATCGATCAAGAATCGAAAGTCTGGATTCAATAAACTCAAAACTTTTTGATCAACCTAATGAGAATGTAATAAGCAATGTAGCTTTTGGCAAACCCTGATGTTTATAGCGGGGGGACAGTAATGTGTAGGTGTCGATCCTTTGCACTTGAGTTACGCTGATGCAAGCTTAAAACGCACTTCTGTGTGTCGCTAACAAGGGCGTGGGGCGGCTACCAGAGAGTCCGCCCACGTGCGCCAGCCGCTTCCTTCTGCTTAAGTAATTCTGTTATCCATTCAGTTGTCAATTCTATATTGAACTCCATTCGATGCCCTCTCATACACCTGTCCTCTGTATTCGTACAGTGTTCATCTCGTTGGCCGAATGTTTTCGAAGGTGAAGCTGATCCGCTAAAATACGCGAAGCAATGGCCATTTCGGGTACCTAGTCATGCACTTTGTTTCAGTACTTAGATTTTCCATATTACAAAGAACACCCGAGAAATATTTTCCTTAGATGGATTACATTTCAGAATCTACTACCGCGCCTCCCCTAATACTGATGCCGAGAACTGATTCATAGGCGCCGCCGATTCAATCCGCTACCATAATCGTGAGCAGTCCTCTCCTTTGCGGGCACCATTCATTCTCTTTGCCATCACCTCGCTCAATTCAGGCGTTGTGTTCCGGCATACGGTGAAGGCGACAACTGCTCGATCCTAACAGATCTCATCAAAATTGCTGGCGAAGACGATATCCTTTTCCATTGGAGACTTTGATGGTGTATTTCAGGTATGGTTGATCAGTTCTGCTTATAACATTCTTTTTGCTAACACTTCAAGCAGCACAGCTCACGCTTCTGTGATGACGACGATGGCGGGGGCATCAGCGCAGGTGATAATATTTGCTTCCGTGTCGATCTCACTCTCTGCAGGCCAGAGTAGAGAGTAGCCACCACCAAGTAACGCAATTTGTTTGTTCTGCTAGTGCCCACATTTGGTTACAGGTAACGGCAGCGTTCACAACCTTGGCAGTGACCCGTGTCGAAGTCTGAACGCTTTCACCATCCACTAGAGCCTGAGCGCCCGGCAGGGTTAGCGACTAGGAAATGATGGATTTTCATCCAGCGTCTGCCAATGTCTTGAGGGCTAGGGAAGCATAGGTGTCGATCTAGGCTCTGCCAGGGCCTACCAACGTCCACACCGTTCGACCCAACAAGATAGAGTAGAGAGTAGGGGTGAAGTAGGAGCAGTAGAGAAAGCTCGGTTAGACCTCGTGGATTACCGCGCTGTGCAACCGCAATACACCTTACACTACCGATGGCATTTAACTGCCTCACTCTCTGTGCTTTAGCAGTTTGCGATTTGCGGTGCGGTTGCACACACAGCAATCTCACGACGCCTAATCTAGCTGTTTGCTACCCTCCTACTTCCCCATGCTCTCTACTAATTCTAATTTTCATTGATTTGCACGTGTGCACTCCTTGGAGGTTCGGGCAGCGCGTCCTGAAAAGTTAGCAAAAGTTAGTTACTACCGGTCGCTGGTGAATGCTGGTGGGCGGCGGCAGACGCTGGCAGACGCTAGATTGATACCTATGCTTCCCTAGCCCTCGAGATGTTATCAGACGCTAGGAGACGCTGCCAGATGCTAGTAGACGCTGGCAGACCCTAGATCGATATCTACACTTTCATATCGCTAATGCAGACGGACGCTCGGAACGCTAGTGGGCGCTGGTAGGCGCTGCCGCAAAGTATGAACGACGCCTAGAGTGCGAAAGGGTGCCCATAAGGTGTCCCTCACTCCATCCATACGATCTGCAATCAATGTGCTGCATGGAAGGGAACGGCAATAAGGAAGGCACGGTGGTTTTCTGTCCCCGCCCACACAACGAGCGTGGACATTACCTTTACACAAGGATCACTTCCCTAGAATTCGAACGACCTGTGTCACCCTGCTATCTGCTTTTGTACTTCCTGTTCCTGCTTGTACTTCCTTGTTTACTCCCTGGAAGTAATAGCCATTTCTACCTTGTACACTTTCATTTTTATTTCAATTAATTCTATATATTCTGGTTTTTTTTGTTGTTTCATTCCAGATGGCATATGCTGGAAATGTAGCAGATGGTTTATGGAAGGCAGCGTTGCATCTGCTGTCTGCTGTGAAACACGCAAACACTAGCAATCCAGGTGTTTAGGAGACCGTAACGTATAAATTCTAAGTAGCAGTTGCTAAATTTCTTTATTTAGCAATAGATCCCAACGAGGAATCGCCACAGAACTCGAAGCCTCTCAAGAAGCATATCAAGGATACGATAATTCTAGCCGATGAGACACCTAGGAAGAATCTATTCTCTCTCTTCAAACCTTTACTGACTGTGAGATTTTGTTGTTTGTTTCGTTTTGTTTATTTGGAGGATTTTATTCCGGAAAAACTGTACTTCCACTGACAAGCGAGTAAGCCTGCTCGTCGGCGTCCTCTCGCCGTGATAGTGACCTCCTTGCTCGCATGCTCAGGCTTAGGCCACGGTTCATACTTCGCAACCCGATTGCTAGAATCCCGTAGTTCAAGGTATCGTATCGCGAAGTGTGAATGTGCTCTCAGAGAGCATTAGGCAACCAGAGCAACTAAGGCATACCTCGCATTGCCCCACTCATAATAATATGAGGCCTGCATTTCATAAAGACAATGGGTACGATTGCTGGAGGCGGGCTGTTGTTGCGAGCGTCACAGGTAGTTGGGCGGTGAGAGGTCTGTTGGCCACACCCCTCGCAGCCCTCCAACCAATGACGTTGACGATGACCGCTCTCCCCCAACCATCGTATCCACTGCCTTTAGATCAGGTTTATGCAACCAGCGTCTTATTTAGTGAGAAGGTCCAGAAAAAATCCTAAGATTTCTGAGGTCAGTCAGCCCTCGAAAACATCCAGGTTGGTCGGAACTATCCAATTATTCAGACCGGAAAGCGAAATATGGTTCACTGGAGTGTCCCATTCACTCCCATCTTCTACATCTATTACATATTTTCAATGCTTGTCACTTTCATATCGGCGCTCATTCCAGTGTCTGTGCCTATGTGGATTCGAACGGTAGGTTTACATCTCGTCTCGTTCACATTCCATTTTTGTGCTAGCCGTTGCTATCAAGCAGAACCGAGATACGTTAACCCTAGCGGCTATATAACCCACTCTCCTTTCGACCATTGAGAAACACTAAGCGCAAGGCGTCCCAACGTTAGGAGTGCCAGGAACAAGGAGGAGTGTACAGTATCGAGGTGCGGGAAATGGCGGTATCGAACGATTTCTTTCCCCAACGCAACCTCCCATACTACCTACCAAATCTTCATGTTTCTCCAACTTCCTACCTTTTGTTCCAGATTCTTCAGAAAATTTTCCGATTGTTCCTCGAAAAAAAAACCGTCTGGCGGGAGTGGGAGGGGGTGGTGTGATACACATGAAGCGGAAAACAGCGGGAAGTCAACTACCGTAAAGCTTCTCTCGGCAGCATGAGATAAATTTCTGTCAAAACCACTTGCACTCATCCCCCTCCGCGGTCTTCAATGGTCAAGTGCGACACTCCTGGTCGAATTTCTCAGCAATGCCATACTCCGGGACGAGGCCTCTTATTTCCCTTGCCTCAAGCACCCAACTTGCTATTTTGCATTGCCGAGAACTGTCCCAAAGCCGTTGGAATTGCGTGATGAACACTTATTTCCACTATGCCTTCTACAGTTGCCAAATCCATCTCTCGCCTATCTCTACTTCCATCACTGGACCTTCTTCAACACAAAGAAAAGTCGTCTTGTACTAGACTTCCAGCCAAGCATCACATTTGAAGTGAGTTTCTCTGTCTGTGCGATTTCTGTAACTGAAAATCATGAGTCTCCATTTAGGACGCCATTAATCGCTGTCAGTTGTACTATCGCTCTCTTCAGCCTCGTGATGTTCCTTGCTATTCATGGACCGGCACGCGATGTCTGGTAGCATTTTTGATGCAGATATGTGTCTGGCGAAAGAGGGCTTCTTAGGCCCTTTCTCTTCAAATTTGGTCACAACCAAAATCAGTGTTCCTTATAGGACCTTTGTTACGCTGCTTTGATACAGTAGTAATTCAACTTGACATTATTTGTTCGTTGTTATTGTTGTTGTTTTGTCAATCCGATAATGAACTTATCAACTTCAAACATGCTTTCACTCATTTCATTGTTGAGATCCAGTACTGTTCGCTGTGGATGATCAAGCGGGTCTGAGGATGGGTGGCGCGCTGCCAGCCCACTTTCCGCAAGTTGTTAAAGCGTACAAGCGACAACAGTTGGTAGATACGACTGGTGTGAAGAATACAGTCTTTTCGCTAGCTGAAAGAGAAGAAAAATGCGGTTGGCACTGCGTCAGAACCATCACCCTCGCCCGCACATCACGTCGCCTGGTGCCCCCCCCCGCACGCCTCATCTTCCCACAACAACAAGACGGTTGCGATGTGAACGGGTCTCTTGAGTAGACTTCTAGGAACACAATCGAAACAGCGACTAATGGTGATCATTGGTAAGCTAAATCGGTGAAAAAAATTGGCCTCAAGTTCTGGTGTGTTCAAGCCTCCAGATGTGCACCCAAAGAAGATCGATGGTGAATCCAATGAACAATACTCACGGACACAACAAAGGGAAGCATGAACATACAGAAAAAATGCGGAGCCAAATTGAAAAAAATGGTATCTAATCCACACGGCACTATAATCGTTCTATACTCGGCTATTAATCTCGATCGCAAATCGCTTGCGACCCGCTTATCATTTGGAAAAATCGTCAATTGACCGCAGTTTGTTCCGGCCTGCCAACGTCCTGGGGTCTTTTCGGGGGGTTATATCTCTTTGAGGGGCGCGGCTTTTGATGAATGGTTAGCAGCATGCAACGGGAATGTTCCTACTGTTGCGTTTTCTACCTAGTTCTAACCTGAATAATCACGCGTTCTTGAAATATTTCGGATGAGGTTATAAGCTTTGGATTCGGCCTAGGGGTACACGCGAGCGGATTTTAATGGCTTTACAGCGGGAAAGCTACTTATTTCAAAACGCAATTGTCATCAAGATCCAGAACTGTCTTCAGAGCACCCTATCTTTTCTCATTCCAACAAGTCTTACAGTTTGCCTGAAAACCTGCTGGATCAGGAGATATTTTAGATGGGTTACCATACATCTAACCGATGAGCCTATCAAACCTATGTGCTTCAAAAAAAAAAAAAAAAAAAAAAAAAAAAAAAAAAAAAAACAGGCACAGCATTCGATGGGGATTTTGGTCGAGCTTTTACGACCCCCCCCCCTTTTTTCAGGGGCTGGTACGACCCCCCCCCTCCAAAACGTCCGCAAAGCGAGAAAAATCAACTATAAAAATAAATTTTTCCCAGCCCAAATACGACCCCCCTTTTGGCGGCCAAATACGACCCCCCCATAGGGAATCCCCAACCAATGCTGTGCCCTGCTTCAAAACATCATATTTCCTTTTGAAGAGTGAAAAAGGAGCTCGGATATCACTGATCGATTTGGTCCGAGTGTGCGCCGTGCATTACGCTTCTACGCAGAGGTGGTGGGATTTCAGGTGCTTTCGTCCATGCAAGCAGATGTTTGTTTAGGGTTTGGAAAGGACAATACGCACGAATCTGTTTGAGACGTATTATTTAGTCATCTACGTACTTACGAGTTCATGCTATTAACTGATATTTATTTATTTATTTATTCTTGCTATTCTTGCTATATTGCTATAAATTTTTTATTATTTTGTAGTCCTCCTTACATCCGGGTCTTCTGCAGCTTTCCGTCCGTTCCATCAAACTTAGCAATGACACTTTTGTACTGTTTGATGCTTAGCGAGCCTACTTTTGCGATACTCCCCACGTCCCCCGCGGCCAAGTACGATCCCCTTTCTGGGAATTTCCCATGAAAAGAGGGCTGTTAAACGGAGCAGTAAATCTGTAAGAATACACTCATAATAATTTTCATTTTTTTAACATCTTGACTTCCATAGCTCCACTCCCACTATCAACTGAAATGTCAAAGCATTGCCCGGCGCTGACTGACCCTTGAGATTACGACCCCCCCCCCCCTCCCCAGCGGCCAAGTACGACCCCTGGGTTTCGCACAACGATGCTGTACCCTGACTGTTCATGGGCTGAGACGGCCACTGGACGGGACGCCTGCGCTCATTCTTGGGCCGCACACCTGAAAAGTCTTTTGGGGGCTTCACTTACAGGGCAATCGTGGAAAAAGCCATTGAAGACCCGAATGAATTGTTACATAGTAACCGCCAACACGGCGATGATGCTTCCATGCCAACGAAGGACTGGTTAGATGTCTCTTTCCCAAGATGCTGAATTTTTGCCCGTTTCACTTTATTTTTCGCAGGGAGATTTTTTCTGTTTTTTCAATGAGCTTTTATTTCAATAGATTTGCTTTTAGAGGTAGACAGGGGAATCACTCACGAGAAAAGTTCTGAGTGGCCTCACTCACCTTTACAGCAATTGAAAAAGAGCTCCTATAATCTCAAAATGTGATGGAACAATAGTTTCCAGGCGCTGTTTGGCTTGGAAGGGGCATTCTGCACTTGTGCTAACTGCAGAAGCTTCGCTTTTGTGTTATTTTTCGTACTATTTTGAAATTCTTTTTTGCCCCCACCGAGCCAAACTCCGCCTTTTACATTTGTTTCCAGCAACTGCGAGGATGTGGCAGAAACTTAGGAAGCCCACATTACAAGACGAATCTCCAAAGTTGATTGGATTCGGTGAAGAAAATTTTGATACATATCGTCCATAACGGAAGGTAAAAAGAGGCGTTCCTGCAACGGCTGCTATTCTAGTGCTGTTCCTTCTTTTCTGTGCAAGGTCTCTGCTTCTCTTTCGTCTAGATCTTCGCCGTTCTCGCAGCCACGCCTCTTGTTGCCCTCAGATATGGACTGTATGGCTCTCATTGCACAACCTATTCATATTTCAGCGCTAATTCTTCTGTTTTTTGGACAACTGTTTGCTGGAACTTTCCTATTTCAACTGAAAGTAATGGAAACGCCCGATTTCAATACGATTCGTAATGACGTGATCGCCAACTGCACAAAGCTGTTCAACGAGAGTCGAGCGGAAGTGCTGACTGCAATCTTTTCGACTTTTCTTTGTTTTGTTAGACATTCAGCACACTTGCAGTCCGTATTTCGTTGCTGGTTGGGGCGTATCCACGGGGTTTGTTGTAAATGCGGCTGTGGTAGACAATTGCTAGTCCAAACACAGGCGTGGATAGCGTGTGCGTAGGAGCAGCGCAAGAGAAGGGCAATGTTTCTCTCACCCAGAGCAAGTCGTCTGTTAAGGATCCTCCGTTGACGATTTTCCAGCTGGGTCGTACGTTAGTCGCTGGACTGAGGAGTGGTTCTGTTTGGCCAGAGAAAATACTTTTCCGATTGCCGGTTTTCCCTTTCAACGCTCACTTCCTCCCCTTGTTGGCAGCGCCGCAAATATTTTTCCTATAATTACGATCAGTGGTGTCTACCCCCCCCTCTCCTATCGGTCGACGGGGCTTGGTCGGATGCGGGGGGGGGTCGTACCGGAGGAGGAAATTCGAGGTGGCGTGTGCCGCAGAACGTTTCTCCAACGTCTGGACATGCCTCTCTCACTCCTTTCTCCCTATTCAGACAAGTGCGTGGACACTCTCGATCCTACGCCGAGCTAGGTAGTGACTATAGGATTATTAAAACCAGTCGGATCACCCGGCTGCCGCGGGTGCTCCTCCTTCTGTTTCACGGCCCGGCTTCGCCGGGCCGACCTGGCTTCGCCAGGCACTCTTCCCTTGGGCGGAGTAGAATGCGCTAAATGTGCCAAACGGTGGCAGTTATTTTTATTGAAATGTAGGAAAATGAGTTGAAAAAGCTCAACATCAGTCATTATCTACCAACATCTGGTCCCTCTTGCTTACTACAGACTTTCAACCGTGAGAAGGCTGCACCATATCATTAAGACCGCAGTTGCGACATCAGAATGGGTAAAGTTGAATTAGTCCGGATGAGTCCTTAACACCCGGAAGAGGCATAACTGCGGAGTCATGGGTGGCACTGTACTTGTACATGTCAAAGTGTGTGTCGCAGTGACCATGAGAGCTCGAATGTTATCACCGACAGGACGTCCCCACTCCCAAATGTTGGTTTTCCTCATTTTACTTCATTTGCGACCGCCACCTCCTAACACATCACATAGCAGGCAGATTTGCGAAAATTTTTTTGATTGATGAATTCCCTGATTTTCCCTATGAATATGGTGACCTCCCCCTTCTAACGCCTCTTATCGGATCTTATCAACTGATATCACTTCCTGTCACCCACCAATAGTGTTCCCGTCACACCCCTACATCACTTCTTGAAATCAATGTCTCACTGCTACTGGGACCGGCGCTATGAATTTCGTGACACACAGACAGACGCACACACAAACATACACACACACACACACATACACACACACTTACAGACATACTTAGCGGATTATATAGTACCAGTCGGATCACCCGGCTGCCGCCGGGTGCTCCTCCTTCTTTGTCACGGCCCGGCTTCGCCAGGCACTCTTTCCTTAGGCGAGGTAGAGTGTGCAAAATACGCCTAACCGTCACAGTGCATTTTCCAGCAAAATGTAGAAAAATAATTGAAAATAGCTCGAGCAATGGGTTAAAGTTGAATCTGGCCAGAGGATCGTGCAACATACAGCGCTTTGTTACTTCCGAAATTCTAATGACATCAAAAGAAAGAACCTGACGCCCCTTATCCAATCTTATCAGATGCTGGCAGTTTTTGTCACCAACCTAGTGTTCCTTTCCTAAACCCTACATCTTGGAACCAACCTCCTACTGTTGCTGTGACTCGCGTGATTGACTCAGTGACCATACCCTTCTAACATCTCGAATCTTATCAGCAGCTGACGGTTCTTGTCATCCACCAATAATGTTCCTTTCCATGCCCTAATAAATGTTTGGAATCAGACCTGGCTGGTGATCCGCATTACGAATATG